AACCACTGGCTTAGGAGGAACATTCTGGGATGAGGAGATGAAGAGTTTGGTCGTAAGGTGGAGATTGGCAGATTCCAGAGCCTTTTCACTGATGTAGGAACACTCCAGCTCTATGGGGAAGAAAACAGAAGTGTAACCAGGTGGGAATCGCTGCTACTCCCAGCGAAGGACACACAGGGATGGACAGGAAATGTTTTGAGAAATCTCTAAAGGAATTTGCCTCAGCATTTTATAGTTCCACTGACAACGTGCGAAATTCACAAGCGAAGGCAACTCTATAGAAGCAGAAAGTAAACGAGCAGCGGCCTGGGGTTGAGGGCGGGAAGGGTTTCACTGCAAATGGAAAGGGGGATCGCATTGGGGTGAAAGGAATGTTTTCTAGCTGGATTGTGATGAAGGCCATGTACTTCCGTAAATTCCATAAAGACCCTTGAATTGTACATGTAAAAGGGGTGACTTTTATGATATTTGAATTACACCATGATAAAGTTGTTTAAAAGAAAATCATGGGTCCTAGCCTGTGTGGCCCAGTGGATAGAGCGTAGGTCCTCAGACTGAAGGCTCGCAGGTTAGATTCTGGTCAAGGGCACATACCTCGGTTGTGGTTGTGGGCTCGATCCCTGGCCCTGGTAGGGTCTTGTGTGGGAGGCAAGCAATCGATGTATCTCTCTCACATCGATGTTTCTCTCTGTCTCTCCTCCTCCCTTCCACTCTCTCTAAAAATCAGTGGAGAAATATCCTCGGGTGAGGAGTAACAACAATAACAAAATCATGGGAACTGAAGGCAGCACAATTTTAATAACTCCCCACCCCCCTGACCAAGGCTGCGGAATGAAATTTTGGTGGCCCTATGACCTCTAATACCCACCTTTTAAAGCGGGTCTCACAGAACTATCTAGAGTTCACTACCAAATTATCTAAATGGGGGTAAGAAAAACGATCATGGCCCTAGCCCCATGGGCGGCAAACTGCGGCTCGCGAGCCACATGCGGCTCTTTGGACCCTTGAGTGTGGCTCTTCCACAAAATGCCATGTGTGGGCGCGCATGGACAGTGTGATGGAAACTTCGTGGCCCATGCACAGAAGTCAGTATTTTGTGGAAGAGCCGGTATTTTGTGGAAGAGCCACACTCAAGGGGCCAAAGAGCCGCATGTGGCTCACGAGCCGCGGTTTGTTGAGCCACAGTTTGCCAACCACTGACCTAGAGTTACTCTTCAGTCAGTTCACTTACTGGCAATCAACAGTGTACAAAAATGTCAGGGAACAAACTCAGACTCCTTCATAATTTTGTATTAAATTCAAATTAATGAAATTCTTATTAACCTAAGTTTTTATTTGTATCTTACTTTCTACAAGACCAAATTTAAAATTAGCTCACATTTTCCTAAAATCATTCAAAAAATAAAATTAAGCAACAGCAGTGTGTATTATACTATTCTAGAGGCCCGATGCACAAAGTTCCTGCAAGGGGCTTGGCCCTCGCAGCCCCGGCTTCATCCGGAAGGTTGTCCAGAAGGTCGTTCAGCTGTCTGGTCTTTAGCATATTACACTTTTATTATTATAGACCAGGGGCCCAGTGTACAAATTTGTGCACCCTGAAAGGAACTGTGAGCCATGAGGCTGCAGTGGGCACATGGGCGGGCGTCAACCCATCCTCCACACCCCAACCTGGCCCCTCCCACCACAGCCCCCAGTCCCCTGTCTGTCGGCAGCCCCACTCCCGCCGCTGCTGCCACTCCCACACACTGACAGCGCCGGCCCTGCTGACAGTGCGGAGCAATCGGGACTGGCAGTGGGTGCAAGCTGGGCTGGTGCCATCAGCAGGTGTGAGCACTGGGCAAGACTGAGGCGCGGGAGCAAAGAATTTTCAGTAACCACCAGAGGCTCGCCCCGATGACAGCAACTAGCACCCTGCCTTGGTCTGGCGCCCCCACTCACCTGCTCCACTATCCCTCTGCAGCCGACACCCTCCATGTTCTGCGCGCGCCCCCTGGTGGTCAGCTCACTTCACAGTGACCGGTTGTTCGGTTGTTCCGCCATTCGGTCTATTTGCATATTAAGGTTTTAAATATAGATAGATAGATAGATAGATGATAGATATTTGGTGTTATCAGATTGAGAAGTATAAGAGAGATGCCCTACCCTCATCATCTGGTTAGGGAAATGAGTTCCACACATGAACATTTTACTGGCAATATAAGTATTTAGGATAAGTACTCTATGAATTGTGTACATAATAAGTACTGTAAAATTTCAGGAAGGACATAACAGGAGTGGGTAGGGCTGGCCTAATGGAGAAGATAGGACTTGTACTAGGGCTAGACAGATGGATCAAATTTAGATAGAGGTAGAAGCAATGACGTGTGCAAGGGTAAACAGATAAGAAGAAATAAAAAGCTGCAGTTGAATAACCAGTGAAAGAGCTTGGAGACTGTGTTCTGAAGGTAATAGAAAAGCAACAGTTTCCGAGGAGTTTCTTGCAGGAGAAGAAACTAGATATTAAGGATCTGACGTTGATGATAGCAATGAAAATAAATGGGAAGGAGTTGAGAAAATCATAAATGAAGAATTGTTAGATCTTAGAAACTTGAAAGCATATGGGCAATAAGGGAAAAGTCAAACATGATTTGAGATTCAGTTAATCTCAATTCCCTAGTTTCTTATTTTTCACCCTAATAGTTCATCTGACTATAGTTTTACTAGTATTTACTAAGTAGCCTTTTGTACTTTCGATTCTTAAGATGGATTAATCCTATGTAATAAAAGGCTAATATGCAAATTGTCCCCTCGACCTGGAGTTCTACCAGGAGGTGAGGCTGGCTGGCCAACCTCCCGCGTCCCATCCCCTTGGCTGTCCCAGACCCATTGGCCCCGATCAGGACAGGCTGGCCAGACCCCACCCGTGCACAAATTGGTGCACCAGGCCTCTAGTATTTATTATATGCTTTACCTGGGAAAATATTTCAACCTTGTTTTTGAACTCTTTTTTTTTTAATATATTTTATTGAGTTTTTACAGAGAGGAAAGGAGAGAGGTAGTCAGAAACATCGATGAGAGAGAAACATCGACACGCTCTAGCCACTGAGCCAAACTGGTTTCGGCGTTTTTGAACTCTTAGAAGTAAATTGTTGTAGTCCGGTGTGACACAGTGGTTGAGCATCAACCCATGAACCAGGAGATCATGGTTCAATTCCTGATCAGGGCACATGCCTGAGTTGAAGCTTGATCCCCAGTAGGGGGCATGCAGGAGGCAGCTGATCAATGATTCTCTCTCATCATTGATGTTTCTATCTCTTTCTCCCTCTCCCTTACTCTCTCTGAAATTAATAAAAACATTTTAAAAAAATTGTAGTAGAGACAGTTAGCTGGATTTTCTGGTGACTACTGAAGGGCTTTAAGATAAGAAATAGGCACAAAGTATAAAGTATAGACAGATAATTACTACTTTCTATTGAAATCCCCAACATTTGGGGTAAGATTTCTCTTATGCCAAAAACAATGACAGACTGTCAGCCAGTGGTTCTCAACCTTACTAATACCGCGACCCTTTAATACAGTTCCTTATGTTGTGATGACCCCCAACCATAAAATTATTTTCGTTGCTACTTCATAACTGTAATTTTACTACTGTTATGAATCGTAACGTAAATATCTGATATGCAGGGTGTATTTTCATTGTTACAAATTGAACATAATTAAAGCATAGTGATTAATCACAAAAACAATATGTAATTATATATGTGTTTTCCGATGGTCAGGCAACCCCTGTGAAAGGGTCGTTCGACCCCCAAAAGGGTCACAACACACAGGTTGAGAACTGCTGCCGTAAGCAGAGCCTGACTTGCCCCCCACCATTGGAAAAACTGTTGAGTCTTTGAATCTGTTTTATTTCTAATAAACTAAATTGCTTTTGAAAATATTTTATATTTTATCTTCACAAATCTGATTACACCCAGGCAAGCGGATGAAGAATTCCAGATCCTGGCAAACTCCTGGCGATACTCCAGTGCATTTACAAACAGGATATTTTTTGCTATGGTGGATTTTGATGAAGGCTCTGATGTATTTCAGATGGTAAGATCTTTGGTTTATTCTATTACGTAGGAATAGGCAAACTATGGATAAAGTGAAATACATCTTTTTCAATGGCTACAAGAAGTTAAATATGACTTGTTTTATGTAAGATCTAGAGTACTTAGTAAAATAAAAACTAAACTTGAGCTAGCCATGAAATGTAATGGTCAGTGCTTAACCTAATAGAATATGGAAATTGAATTGTAATCAGGTAATACACACACACACACACACACACACACATACACTTGTGGTAAATATACATAATAAAAATTTACATTTTAAACATTTTTAGTGGGCAATTTATCAAGTAATTTTTAAAATCACAGCATTAATCCATCATTATACCATCATTGTAATATTGAAGTTTTTAGTAGAGTTAGGTACTGTACTTGTCTTTACCCCTTTGCTTCTTTCTTGTCTTAGTGGGAAAGCTCCTTCTTCTTGTTCAGAGCTTCACCCCTTTCCTGTGCCCTGGATCCCATATGTATGAGCTCTGTCAATCATAACCTCTCTCACCTATATTTTTTTAATTGATTTCAGAGAGGAAGGGAGAGGGGGAGAGAGCTAGAAACATCAGTGATGAGGGAGAACATTGATCAGCTTCCTCCTGCAAGCCCCACATTGGGGATTGAGCCTGCAACCTGGGCATGGGCTGCAACCGGGAATCGAACCGTGACCTCCTGGTTCATAGGTCAAGGCTCTATCATTGAATCAAGCTGGCCAGACAGTTGCTATCAATGATGAGAGAGAATCATTGATTGGTTGCCTCCTACATGCCCCACAATGGGTATCGAGCCTGCAACACGGGCATGTGCCCATGACTAGAATCAAACCTGGGACCTTTCAGTTTGCAGGCCAATGCTCTATCCACTGAGCGAAATCGGCTAGGGCTGAAGTCTATTTTTTTAAAGAGCAACTGAAAGTTCACTACGGAATTGAGGGGTAAATACAAAGATTTCCTATATACCCCCTACCTCACACATGAATAGCTTCCCCACTATCAACATTCCCACCAGAGTAGTACATTTTTACAGTTGATGAGCCTACATTGATACATCATAATCACCCAAAAGCGCACAGTTTACATTACAGTTAACTCTTGGTATTGTATAGTCTACTGGTTTGGACAAATTGTCCATCAATATGGTATCATAAAGAGTATTTTTATTTTCCTAAAAATCCATACCCTGTCAGTCCATCCTCCCTTCTAACTTTTGGTTGATATTTTACTTTTCTCATAGTTTCACCTTTTCCAGAATGCCATATAGTTAGAATCATACAGTATGTAGACTTTTCTGATTGCCTTCTTTCACTTAGTAATATGTATTGAAAGTACCTCCATGTCTTTTTATGGCTTGATAGCTCATTTCTTTCTTTTTTTTAAAATATATTTTATTGATTTTACAGAGAGGAAGGGAGAGAGATAGAGAGTTAGAAACATTGATGAGAGAGAAACATCAATCAGCTGCCCCCTGCACATCTCCTACTGGGGATGTGCCCGCAACCCAGGTACATGCCCTTGATCGGAATCAAACCTGGGACCCTTCAGTCCGCAGGCCGACGCTCTATCCACTGAGCCAAATGGGTTTTGGCTCATTTCTCTTTATTGATGAATAATATTTCATTGTCCAGATGTACCAGAGTTTGTTTATTCATTCACTCACTAAAGGACATCTTGGTTGCTTCCAAGTTTCGGAAGACTGCCAAACTATCTTCCAATGCAGATGTACCATTTTGCATTCCCAGCAGCAATGAATGAGAGTTACCCTTACACCACATCCTCATCAGCATTTGGTGGTATCAGTGTTCTGCATTTGGCCATGCTAGTGGGTGTGTAGTGGTATCTCACTGTTTTTTTAAAAAAATATATTTTATTGATTTTTTACAGAGAGGAAGGGAGAGAGAGATAGAGAGTTAGAAACATCGATCAGCTGCCTCCTGCACATCTCCCACTGGGGATGTGCCCGCAACCCAGGCACATGCCCCTGACCGGAATCGAACCTGGGACCCTTCAGTCCGCAGGCCGACGCTCTATCCACTGAGCCAAACCGGTTTCGGCCTCACTGTTTTAATTTGCATTTCTCTGGTGATATATATTATGTGGAACATCTTTTCAATGCTTATTTTGATGAGATGTCCCTTAAGATCTTGGGCCCATTTAAAAAAAAATTATCTTTATTATTGAAAGTGTTACAGATATATCCTCCCTCCACCCCCCCCATTGACTCCCTCACTCTGTACCTGGCCCCCCTCAAGCTTTTACTGCATTATTGTCTGTGTCTATTGTGCGATCGGGCCCATTTTTTAATTGGTTTGTTTTCTTATTGTAGTGTTTTAAGAGTTCTTTGTATATTTTATTATTTAAAAGTTTTTTTTAAATGTTTTTATTAATTTTTTAGAGAGAGAGGAAGGAAGAGGGCTATAGACATAGAAACATTGATGAAAGAGAGAATCATTGATCGGCTGCTTCCTACTGGGGATAGAGCCCACAACCTGGGCATGTGCCCTGACCGGAAATTGAACCATGACCTCCTGGTTCATGGGTTGATGCTCAACCAACTCAGCCACACTGCCTGGGCTGCTTTCAGTTCTTTTAGATATATACCCAGAAGTGGAATTCCTAGATCATATGGCGTTTCTGTTCATTATTTTTCATTATTATATTTATTTTTAAATATATATTTTTATAGACTTCAGAGCAGAAGGGAGAGGAAGAGAGATGAACATCAATGATAAGAGAGAATCTTTGATCAGCTGCCTCCTACAGGCCCCACACTGGGGACCAAACCCACAACCCAGGCATGTGTCCTTGACAGGAACTGAACCCGGGACCCTTCCATTCACAGGCCAATAATCCATCCACTGAACAAAGTCAGCTAGGTTTCTTCATAAATTTTTAAAGAAAACTCCATACTGTATAACATAGTGACTGCACCATTTTGCATTCCAGCAGTGCACAGGGGTTTCAAATTGTCTATATCCTTACCAACACTTATTTTCTGGTTTTTATTTTCATTTTTTATAGTAGCCATCCTAATGGGTGTGAGGTAATAGCTCATTGTGGTTTTGATTTGTATTTCCCTAAGGATTAGTGAGGCAGAGCATCTTTTCATGTACTTATTGGCCATTTGTATATCTTTTCTGGAGAAATGTCTATTCAGATCCTTTACCTAGTTTTTAGTCAGTTTTTTTTGTTGTTGTTGAATTATAGGAGCTCTTTATATATATTGGATACTAACCCCTTACCAAACATATGATTTGTGGGTATTTTCCACCATTTCATAGATTGCCCTTTCATTCTTTTTTTAAAATATATTTTTATTGATTTCAGAGAGGAAGGGAGAGGGAGAGAGAGACAGAAACATTAATGATGAGAGAGAATCACCAATCAGCTGCCTCCTGCAGATTCAATTCCACTGGGGATTGAACCCGCAACCTGGGCATGCGCCCTTGACCAGAATCGAACCTGGGATCCTTCAGTCCACAGGCCAATGCTTTATCCACTGAGCCAAACCAGCCAGGTCATACTGCTGATTGTGTCTTTAGCCTACAGGATAGTTTTAAGGTGCTTATTTTTTTTAAAAAATATATTTTAATGATTTTTTACAGTGAGGAAGGGAGAGAGATAGAGAGCCAGAAACATCGACGAGAGAGAAACATCGATCAGCTGCCCCCTGCACATCTCCCACTGGGGATGTGCCCGCAACCCAGGCACATGCCCTTGATCGGAATCGAACCTGGGACCCTTCAGTCCACAGGCCGACGCTCCATCCACCGAGCCAAACCGGTTTCGGCAAGGTGCTTATTTAGTATAAAGATGTTACATTAGTAATCATGGAAATACAAGTTACAATAATAGTGATATGCAATATTTACACATTAGATCAACTTTTTTTTTAAAATATATTTTATTGCTTTTTCACAGAGAGGAAGGGAGAGAGACAGAGAGTTAGAAACATCAATGAGAGAGAAACATCGATCAGCTGCCTCCTACACATCTCCCACTGGGGATGTGCCCGCAACCCAGGTACGTGCCCTTGACCGGAATCGAACCCGGGACCTTTCAGTCTGCAGGCCGACGCTCTATCCACTGAGCCAAACCGGTTTCGGCTAGATCAACTTTTGACAAAAATGTGGGGAAATAGGTAATTTCCTACATTAATGGATAGAAGTATAAATTGGTATAGCTATTTTGGAAGGCAAGTTGGCTCTATACATTTTGACTTAAAATGTTCCTGCCCTCTGATCCAACAGTTCTATTTCTATAGAAACACTCTCACAGGTATACAGGGAGATAAGTACATGACTGTTCATTGCAACATTATTTTTTAATGGGAAAAAAAAGAAACCCTTAAGTCCAACAGTAACACAATAAAATATGAGTGAATTTGATAGATAGATAGTCATGGATAGATCTCGCAAACATGGATAAATAAAAAAAGCAAATTGGCCCAGCCTGTGTGGCTCAGTAGCTCAGTGGTTGACTATTGACCTATGAACCAAGAGGTCCAATTCCCAGCCAGGACACATGCCCGGTTGCGGCTCGATCCCCAGTAGGGAGTGTGCAGGAGGCAGCTGATCAATGCTTCTCACTCATTATTAATGTTTCTATCTTTCTCTTCCTCTCCTTTCCTGTCTGAAATAAATAAAAGTATATTAATAAAATAAGGCAAACAAAACAATATTACATGTTTTCTGTTGGTACATTCATATGTATTTGGATCAATTCAGAAAAGTCTAGAAACGGTAATAGTGGGTGCAGGAATGGACTGGGGTTGCTCCTTACAACCCTGTAATTTTTTAAAAATATATATTTTATTGATGTTTTTACAGAGAGGAGGGGAGAGGGATAGAGAGTTAGAAACATCAATGAGAGAGAAACATCGATCAGCTGCCTCCTGCACACCCCCCAAGGTACATGCCCTTGACCGGAATCGAACCTGGGACTTTTCAGTCTGCAGGCCGACGCTCTATCCACTGAGCCAAACCAGTTAGGGCACAACCCTGTAATTTTTAAAAACTTTTTTAAAATAAATATTTTTATTGATTTCAGAGAGCAAGGAAGAGGGAGAGAGAGAAAATAGAAACATCAATGATGAGAGAGAATCATTGATCGGCTTCCTCCTGCACACTCCACACTAGGGATGGAGCCCACAACCTGGGCATGTGCCCTGACCGGGAATCGAACTGTGACCTCCTGGTTCATAGGTTGATGCTCAACCACTGAGCCACACCGCCTGGGCAAGTATGCAGTCTCCATTTTTTTGTCCTTGGTTATCAGAGTTTTCCAGCTAGTCTTTAGTTGATTTTTCAGGATAGTTTTTCTGTATTTTAGTTGTATTTCCTATTTAGTCCTGGGAGAGTGTCAGTGTAGCTTCCACTTACTCTGTCACCATTTTAATCATTCTAGACATATTTTTAAAGAAATCCAAAGCTGATATAGCTAAACAAATATTGAAGAGTTTGGCCTAAAATTTGGGTAGCAGTTTGGTGGAGTGAACAGTGTCCTTAGCTTTGCAGCCTGAGAAATTGAATTTTAACAGTGTGGTCAGAATTTATCTAACTCTGAAGACTTTTTGCACACTCACCAAATCATAAAAATCCATGTCCGGCTATTGTGGTTCAGTGGTTAAGTGTCAACCCTTGAACCAAGAGGTCATGGTTCAATTCCTGGTCGGAGCACATTCCCTGGGGGGTGGTGCAGGAGGCAGCCAATCAATGATTTTCAACATTGATTTTTCTATCCTTCTCTCCCTTTCCCTTTTTCTCTCTGAAATCAATAAAAACATTTTTTTAGAAGTCCATAGGCATTGGTAGCCAAAAAGCTAATCTATTAATTCCCTGTATTATACTTCAAGGGAGACTAAAATAATTATACCCACTAATCAGTATACCCTCTCCACTTATGGATAAGTCTAAACAATTATGTTTAGAAAGGTTTTATTGTGAGTGTAGAATCAAAGCGAGGAAGTCAGATTATGATATTGTCTGACATCTTTTAATTATAATTGTTTCATACTAGCTAATCTTCATTTTAGGGTTACCTGCTGAGTGAACCTGAATGTTTGCATCTGATGGTCCAGCATCTTTTCCCTGGACTTAGTCAGACTTTCTGTTTTTCACAAGTACATTTAGGTCAGGGAAGATAGAATGCAGATAAGTCAGTCATGGTTTCTTTATTTTAGCAATGCCAGTGTTGTCTTCTTAAACATATCATGGTTTCATCATAGAGTATCAAGAACTGTGGTGCTTATCAGTAAACATTTATGAGCCTTTTAGAATTAACTATTTCTGCTTATGGCTACCATTTTGTATTGGTTTTCATTGCAATGTTAGAGCACTATCTTACAGTTTCCTTCTAATTGAGAATATACTCTAAATCTTTTTAAAAAGATATATTTTATTGATTTTTTACAGAGAAGAAGGGAGAGGAAGAGATAATTAGAAACATTGATGAGAGAGAAACATCAATCAGCTGCCTCGTGCACACCCCTACTGGGGATGTGCCCGAAACCAAGGTGCATGCCCTTGACCAGAATCGAACCTGGGACCCTTGAGTCCGCAGGCCGACGCTCTATCCACTGAGCCAAACTGGTTAGGGCGAGAATGTACTCTATTTGGAGCTTGCCTCAGCTACATAAGAGTTTTAGTTCTAATAAATGTTTTTTTGCATAATTTCAGAACAGATTAAAATGTTGGTGGTATGGGCGATTTTCCATTGTAAAGATGTAAAATGTAGGTTTCTTAGCTAGGAGTTTCTATTTGGTCAGCAGTGTGCTAATTAAGGTCACAGGCAGCCTTGGATTTGAATCCTGGCTCCGCCATTTACCATTTTCCTTAGGTAAGTCACTTAACCTACTTAAACCTGGGCTTCCTCATCTTTATAAAATGCCTAATTTTCAAGATAATATTTGCTGTTACTTCTTTTCTTGGTAACTTATGTTTTCATGGACTACTTATTTAGCTAAACATGAATTCAGCTCCAACTTTTATCAACTTTCCTGCAAAAGGGAAACCCAAAAGAGGTGATACATATGAGTTGCAGGTGCGTGGTTTTTCAGCTGAGCAGATTGCCCGGTGGATTGCTGACAGAACTGATGTCACTGTAAGTTTCCCTACTTTGTAGAAAGTTACTTTGCCATTATCCACTGGGAATCTTACTGGGGATATCCTAATTGGTCTTGTCCCCATATCACTGAGGTGGTAATAAGGAGTTTGGCAGTCCCTTCATAAGTAGCATTTAACAGAATCAGCATGATGAAAGAGTGAAATTATAAAACATCCTGTTATTGAATTCAGAATGAAAACCACTCTTTTGACATTATTAAGTCTGTGGACTATCTAGTTGTAGTTGGCAAATACTTATTAATCAAAGGTATTATGTTGTGGTTAAATAGAATATTGTACTTATTCCATCCCATTTTAAGATATATTGTAGAGCCAAGCATGTAGACCAGGGGTGGGCAAACTTTTTGACTCGAGGGCCACAATGGGTTCTTAAACTGGACCAGAGGGCCGGAACAAAAGCATGGATGGAGTGTTTGTGTGAACTAATATAAATTCAAAGTAAACATCATTACATAAAAGGGTACGGTCTTTTTTTTTTTTTAGTTTTATTCATTTCAAACGGGCCGGATCCGCCGCGGGCCGGGTAGTTTGTCTACAGCTGCTCTAACCACTTTATTCATTTCAAACGGGCCGGATCCGGCCCGCGGGCCGTAGTTTGCCCACGGCTGATGTAGACTCATGATTAGATGAAAATAAAAAAGTGTAATTTTCCCTGAAAGTAACCACACTGATTTTGATTGCTTCCATTTCAAATTATGTTGACCTATGTAATTAGTGAATCAATTTCATACTTTAAAATGTTTTTCTCTTCTTTCCATTAGATTAGAGTAATAAGACCTCCAAATTATGCTGGTCCCCTTATGTTGGGATTGCTTTTAGCTGTTATTGGTGGACTTGTGTATCTCCGAAGAAGCAATATGGAATTTCTCTTTAATAAAACTGGATGGGCTTTTGCAGCTTTGGTAAGTGAATTTTAGAAGAAAATTGCATGAATAAAACTAATATTGTATTGGTAGGTAGCATTTTGTTTATTTCTTACTGTGGAAAGGATTTATATATTTTTATTTTATGCCTTAAAATCAGTTTGTCTCCTCCATTATATCATTAGGATGGTTAGAGCTTGGAGAGTACCTAGTTTTTGTTCAACCTAAATGATAGACTGTCACCTCTAGAAAATATGCAGTTTTTAAAAAAATATTCTTTTAAAGGACTTTTCAATATTTAATTTTAAAACTTGTAACAGCTTATTTATAATTTTTAAATGGTGTTTTCCTTTTGAAGTAAATATTATGTATTCTTGGGATCCTTGTGAAATATAAGCCTTAATTAAATAATTTATCTGAAAAAATTTGTTCTTCATGTATTACTTAAGCCAGTGGTTCTCAACCTTCTGGCCCTTTAAATACAGTTCCTCATGTTGTGACCCAACCATAAAATTATTTTCGTTGCTACTTCATAACTGTAATGTTGCTACTGTTATGAATAGTAATGTAAATATGTGATATGCAGGATGGTCTTAGGCGACCTCAATGAAAGGGTCGTTTGACCGCCAACGGGGTCGCGACCCACAGGTTGAGAACCGCTGAGTCTTAAGCAGATGTACTTTTCATGTGCCTATCAATTTAATCAAGGTGGGAACAACCACCATGTTAAAGAGTATGTCATTACATTTTGTTTCCTAGTGTTTTGTGCTTGCTATGACATCTGGTCAAATGTGGAATCATATAAGAGGACCACCATATGCTCATAAGAATCCCCACACAGGACATGTGGTAAGGGAAGACCAGGATTTCTTTTCATTGTATACCAAAGTTAACCTTAATCATGATTAGCCTGTGAGACCAGTGCCAGCATATGAGGGAACTAGATTTAGTTCTGGATTTTCAGTCTTTCTGTTTACGACCTTCAGTTGCTGAAAAGAAGATGCAGTGCTCTTTAAAGTTCCTTATGCTATTTGGTGTATCCTTTTGGATAATCTAGCTAAGAATGAAAGTCAGCCTTCAGCTAAATACAATATTGATCAAGTACTTGAGGCTCTACTGTTTCTAGGCACTGTGCTATATACTTATTATTAAGATATAGTGATAAACAAGAAAAGTATGATCCCTATCATCATGGAGCTTACATTATGTACCTCACAGTTTTGTATACTGAAACACTGGTTTTCTCATGATTTTGTTGTTGAAAAGATAGTATAAGTACAATGAAAAGATACAAATTTTAAATAACACAGAAATAGCTTTTATTTATGATGAATGCCACTGACCTAATGCTTACATACATAAGGTGAATTAATTTCAGAGTTTGAAAATAGCCCATTTTAGGATTAGGATACCAATATTTAATGTATATTTAAAGATTTAATTTTGTCTCTTTTTTCCTCCCAGAATTATATCCATGGAAGCAGTCAAGCCCAGTTTGTAGCTGAAACACATATTGTTCTTCTATTCAGTATCCTCTTTATAATAAGTCCTTGGTGCTGTGTTTTAATTCGTCTTTTTTCTCACATTATAGTATTCTCTCTACAGTTTGGTTGAGCCTACTCTCTTATTAATGCAAGTCATAATATCTTTGTAATCATATTACTATATCATCTATCTTCAGCCTAATCAACTGAAGACCACCAGGGATAAACCTGCAGTCTGATAAAGCCAGGTTTATTGGATTTTGCTACAAGGTAGATTGCATATCAAGGGAACCAAGGGACATCTTACCTTAGAAAAGACAGGGTTCTAGGATTTGGGCAAGGTGTAGGGTTTAGGTGAAATGTAAATGAAACAATGTCTTGATAAGCTCAAAGCAATACTAGGCTAAGTGTAAAGGGGTCAGCCTCAGGTTGGGACTGTGAAGTGGACAGGGTTCTGTTTCCTGGAAACTATAAATTTTAGATAAATGTGGATTGTTGTCTTCAGAACTCCTTATTTGAAACTCTGTACTTTGGTTGTAAGTTGAGGCTACTTAAAAGTTGTACTTGTAGCCCAGTTGGCGTGGCTCAGTGGTTGAGCTTCGATCTATGAACTAGGAGATCACGGTTTGATTCCAGGTTAGAACATGCAGACTCGATCCCCAGTAGGGGGCATACAGGAGGCAGCCAGTCAATGGTTCTCTCCCATCATTGATGTTTCTCTCTCCCTCCTCTCCCTTCCTCTCTGAAATAAATAAAACTATATTTTAACAAAAAAAATTATCTTGGAAATTGAGGGACTTTGATCCTCCAGGCAGGAATGGAATGTTTAATATGAATCAGTGTATGATTTCAGAGAACAGTGTTCTTCATTCAGTAAGAAACCAGTAGTTTAAGTACTATAGAAAGAAAAAAATCAAAACCCCTGGAAATACCACCTTTAGTAAATGTTTGTGTATAGGGGTGGCCAAAAATAGGTTTATAGTTATTCATGATAAATAATACAATAATTAATAAATAATATAAGAATAAACTGTTTCACATATAACTGTAAACCTACTTTTGCCTGCCCTTGTAAATCTTTCCCCATTTTATTTTGTCAGTGATTTTTTTTTAAATATATTTTTATTGATTTCAGGAAGAGAGAGAGAGAAACATCAATGAGAGAGAATCATTGATCGGCTGCCTTTGCACACCCTGCACTGGGGATTGAGGCCACAACCTGGGCATGTGCCCTTGACTGGAATCAAACCTGGGACCCTTCACTCCTCAGGCTGATGCTCAGTCCACTGAGCCAAACTAGTTTAGGGCTATGTCAGTGATTTAATAGAGATATTTTAAGGAAACATTCTGGGGGAAAAAAATTAAGTCTTTTTTTTTTAATTGAACATTTGGGGATATTATATTTTCTTAAAACAATATTATGTAATATGGAAAATTAATTTACCTGCTTAAAATTCAGTCTGGAGTCAGAAGACTTAATCTATTCAGCCATGGAATGGTGAGCTGAAAAGTATAATCTATACTAATAAAAAGGTAATATGCTAACTAGACTGGGTTGACTGGCCATCTTCGGACATCTGACTTCCTTTCTGCCCGAAGTTAACTACTGTCCTGATTGTTAACACCATGGATTAGTTTTTACCTATTTTTTAACTTTATATAAATAGACTCATACATTAAATATATTTAAATTAAATAAAGTAGAAGCTGTACTAAGACATGAACAAGGTCTATAACTATAGATTGTATTGAACTCAGAAATGATTTTTTAAAATTGTCTTTATCTGTTGCTTATGATATTAATCATAATAGTTATACTTGAAAAAAATAATAAGGTAACAATATCGAATTTTTTCACCTATAATCTAAAACACTATTATTAAATTCTGTGTTTATTTTTTGCATATCTCTTGCATTCTATGCTCATACTCTTTTTAGTTTTACAATGAGGGGTGGGAGGGAGGGGTTCTTTTTTTATAGTTAGAGACGTACTTTAGCCCAGCCAGTGTTACTCAGTGATTGAGCATTGACCCATGCAGCAAGAGGTCACTGGTTCTATTCCTGCTCTGGGTACATGCCCAGGTTTCAGGTTCAATCCCTGGTAGGGGGCATGCAGGAGGCAGCCAATCAATGTTCTCCTTCATAGATGTTCTCTCTCATTGATGATTCTGTCTACCCCTCCCCCCCTTTTTTTTGAAAGACATACTTTAGCTGTAGTTTGGTTTCTTAACGTATGATAAGCATTTTTTATATCATTGTATGGCCTTCATAGTTACAAAAGTGCATGGGAATCACAGAGAAATAAGAAAATAAGGCAAGGCCCTAGCTCAGGGGATAGAGCATCAGTCTGCAGACTGAAGGGTCCCAGGTTTAATTCCAGTTAAGGGCACATGCCCAGGTTGAGGGCTCGATCCCCAATAGGGGGTGTTCAGGGGGCAGCCGATCAATGATTCTCTCATCATTGATGTTTCTATCTCTCCCTCTCCCTTCCTCTCTGAAATCAATAAAAATATATTTTTTATTTATATTTTTTTAAAAAAGAAAATAAGGCAAGGAAAAATAGTCATCATTCCTAATCTATATATAAAAGCCTAAGCGACCATTACGACTGATCGACCAGAACAACCAGTTGCTATGACACACACTGATGACCAGGGGGCAGATGCTCAATGTAAGAGCTACCCCCTGATGGTCAGTGCAGTCCCACAGCCAACCTCCCCTAGTCGGCCAACCTCCCGTGGTCCCTCCTCCCAGGTCAGCAGGCCCCAATTACCTGATCGGGGCCGGGCCCGGGCTCCAGTCTCTCCCCCTGGGCCCCTAGGCTGAGATGGGGAACCAGGGGTGGGTGGTGGTGGATGTGGCCCCTTTCCCAGGGGGGCCAAGGACCAGCTCCCTCTTAGGGGCTGGCAGCCAGCCTCCCACACCCTGTCCCTCCCCCAGGCCTGCAGTCCCTGATCAGCCTGCCACCCACCCGCCATGGTGGTGGTGCAGCATTAAGGGAAGGAGGAGGGAGGCATGGAACCGCGCAGTGGTGGCATCGGCATCAGGCGTCTGTTCCTTCTGCGCCCAGCCCGGCAACTGTCGCCTCCTCTTGTGACCCTGCCGGGGCCTTTGGGCCCCAGTTGGCCTGGCCTTGATCTCCAGCCAGGCCTAGGACCCCACCTGTGCACAAATTTCGTGCACTGGGTCTCTAGTGTTTATATAATGGATATATTATAATTGAATTATTCTATTGTTGAACATTACAAAAATGTTTTCTTAGATATAAAAATAATTTGCCATATCTCCAAATCCCCAACAGTAAGATTTGAAACAAAGCGTGTGAAACTGTCTTTTGCTCTTGATGTTTTGTCCACGTTGCTTTCCAAAAGGGTTTTTTTTAATTGATTTTTTACAGTGAGGAAGGGAGAGGAATAGAGAGTTAGAAATATCTATGAGAGGGAAACATCGATCAGCTGCCTCCTGCACACTCCCTACTGGGTATGTGCCTGCAACGAAGGTACATGCCCTTGACCAGAATTGAACCTGGGACCCTTGAGTCCACAGGCCGACGCTCTATCCACTGAGCCAAACCGGTCAGGGCTCCAAAAGGTTTTTGCTAAAAAAACAAAAGTGGGGCAGTGGGGAGGATTGCTGCCAGAAAATATATGTGCTCTGATATCCCTCGCAAGTCTTTGCCGTATTGTCATTTTTGTAAACTGCTAATTCAGTAGGCAAAACATTATAGATCATTGTTTAAATCTACTTTGGACAGTAATAATCAAGGTAATTTAAACATTTTCCCACAATTTTGTAATTAGGTTTCGTTTTATGCAAATATATTTGCCTTCATCATGTATTAAGGTACTTTGATTCTACTAGCTCTTTTAATAGCCCAGTTCTTATATGTTATGGAATACTACCTTCTCTATTTTCTATTCAGTTTTTTCAGAGTAACATTTAATTATGATTAGTTAATCATAATTATTCTTTATTTCACTGTATCCCCCCACTAGAGTGTAAACTTGTCCAAGAAAGGGTCTATATTTCATCCAACTTTGTAACTCCAACATATAGTATAGGGCAGTGTCTGCCTGTAGTAGTAGGCAGTGTTAGTAAAAGTTTGAAGAATCAATAAATGAAATGAAACAATACACAAGGAAGTGCATCATAGTTTCTTGAGAGCTAAGAACAGAATACAAAAACCTTGGTAGTATATTTTGAAATGGAAAGCTCATTTTTAAAAAAGCATATAGACCAACCGTGGGCAAACTACGGCCCACCAGCCAGATCCAGCCCGTTTGAAATGAATAAAACTGAAAAATAAAAAGACCATACCCTTTTATGTAATGATGTTTACTTTGAATTTATATTAGTTCACACAAATACTCCATCCATGCTTTTGTTCCGGCCCTCCGGTCAGTTTAAGAACCCATTGTGGCCCTCGAGTCAAAAAGTTTGCCCATCCCTGATATAGACCATGATACAAAAATGAATCTTTTCAAATACAAAAGTGTCAACCATTAATTAAAGTACCCTGTAACCAAAGCCTATAAAAATTATCAATCTTTATATATACCAAGGATATAAAGAACCTCAGTAAGAAAAAAAATAATCTCTGGAGAAGAAGATTTAGCCAAGCAACTAAAAATTTGGTGAATAGGGATCATTCCTAACAAGAGGCTATGGAAGAGCAAGCGCAAGATGGTGATGAAGGGATGAATAGACAAATTAGAGAGCCAATTATTAATTTAGGCCTTATATGAACACTTTTATTTCCCTTTCTGCTTTAAGCATACCCACATGTGGAGCATACAGTGTGCATGCATGTATGCATAATTAATTTGGGCATTTTTACCTGCTTGTTTTAATCAATTTTGTTTATCTTAGCATTCAACTATGCCATGCTACCTATTTACTGGAAATGTCTATTTTGTATTTATGTAGCTTCTATATTAAGTGGACTGAAAGTGAAGTCATGATATGTAGAATTTTCTTTTTTTATTAGAATAGGACAAAATTAGGTAGTAATTTGTACTTTAAAAGCTAATTTTTGCAATTCTGGAGAATTTTTGAGAAGTTGTTTTTCAAATAAAAATTAGTTGCTATTTTCTCTAAATGGTGTATATTTTAAATGTGTTTTTTTTAAAATATATTTTATTGATTCTTTACAGAGAGGAAGGGAGAGAGACAGAGAGTCAGAAACATCGATGAGAGAAAAACACCGATCAGCTGCCCCCCGCACATCTCCCACTGGGGACGTGCCCGCAACCAAGGCATATGCCCTTGAATCGATGTGATAGAGACACATCAATTGGTTGCCTCCCACACACACCAACCCCACACTGGGGATCAAGCCTGCAACCAAGGTATATGCGCTGACTGGAAATCAAACTGTGACCTCTTGGTTCATAGCTTGACGCTCAATCACTGAGCCACGCCAGCAGGGTAGTATTTTAAAATGTGTATGAGGTTGAAGCAAAAGTTGGAAGACTGTCCAGGAATGTTATATCAAAGTAAAATTTCAGGAAAACTCATAGTTCATCTATGAGTTACAGTGGGATATTTGTTTAAAATACCAAATTTTATTTTTACAAATAAATAGTTCAACCTAAATGCTTTTATTATATTTTCATAGTAAATATTTATGCTGTATAGGCACAAGGTTACTTATTTACAGTATTGTACAATTAAATGTAGATTTATATATTTATTATCATTTTCTTTAAAGTGGTATGTCTTTTGTGTCTATGTGAATTGCTCCTTAAACAATTTTTTAAGATGGTGGGGTTACCTTAGGGATGGTACTTCTATGTGAAGCTGCTACATCTGACATGGATATTGGAAAGCGAAAGAGTAAGTCATATCATATGCCAATCTGCCTTTAATACAGGAAAAAAGCATGTCCTCTAATCATTTTCCCTCTTGTTTATAAGTATATCATTTTGCTTCTTTACTATTTTAAAAGTAATTATAGAAAATGTGGGGTGAAATAGGAGTATGAAACATTTGGGCAGAGAGTTATCCATTATTACACCAATAAAAACAAGTAATTTTAATGTTGTAATATAGTTCTATCCATTTGTAAAACATTTTTTAAATTGTAGTATCAAATTTTGAATCTTGTACTCCCCCTTTTTAACTGGAGTTAAATAATTCACTAATAAATATTTTCCTCTACATAATTTTAAATTTATGCTCCATACTGTAATTTACTTAACCATTCTGATTTTTTGCTTACATTTAGTTTTTCTCTTTGATTATGATAAAGTCTTTTTTAGTGAATATCATGGTATATTAAGCTTTATCCTCATACTAATATATAAAAAGCCAGGGGCTGTCACGACTGAAACAACCAGATGGAAGACCGAACAGCAGGATGCATGGGGTGACCAAACGACTAAACAGCAGGCTTCATGGGGCGACCAGGCTGGCAAGGGGGGCAGTAAGGGGCGACCAGGCTGGCGGGTGGGGGGGAGAAGTTAGGGGCGACCAGGCCAGGAGGGGGAGC